GAATGAATGCATGCATGCAAGCTGTACATAACAAGACAAATGCAGGGTTTTGATGAACACTATACTTGTAGAGTTGGTTCTCTCCTTTCACTTTTATGCCAGTTCCAGGTATCAAATTCATGTCTCCAAGCTGAGTGCCTTTACCTGCTGAATCAACTTGCAATAATCCTAACTTTATACAGTATTTATTATATACAGTAATTCTTACTTTAAAATATTTTTCCTAGACTAGAAAGATGGAGTTAAAATCACGAAAATCCATGCTTAAAAAAGAATTCATTGACAGGCGGTGGTGGCGCACGCCTTTAATCCCAGCACTCGGGAGGCAGAGCCAGGTGGATCTCTGTGAGTTCGAGGCCAGCCTGGGCTACCAAGTGAGTTCCAGGAAAGGCGCAAAGCTACACAGAGAAACCCTGTCTCGAAAAACCAAAAAAAAAAAAAAAAAAAAAAAAAAAAGAATTCATTAATCCAAGTGTGCTGTCTTAGTTTTTCCAGTAGAGCTAATGTGGTATGCTGACAGCCAAGTAGCAGCAGGCATACAGAGTTTGAGCCACTGAGTGTTTACATCAAAGTTCTGCCTTCATCCTAAAAATGGGACTATTTTTTCAACTGTCCTAAGCAAATGTAACATCAGAATAGCTCAAAATACAAAGATTAACAATGATCATTTGTATTATCAAAAGAATCCTCTTAGGTGACCTAAACATATTGTTCAGCTTAATATGGACATGGGTATTAAGAAATGTAACTTCCGGTTGTTGGGGCGGGCTTGTTATCATACTGATTTCTATTTCTACCAGAATTCTTCACATCACACATAAAATGCAACTTAAAGTACCACCAATTATATTTTACACTTAAAATATATGAAAAATTAACACACTCAATTTTAACAGATCGACAACGTTTTCTATTTACCCAATGTTCTATTTGTCTATGGCTATTCAGAACCAAATAAATATTAAGTTCTACCCTTTAAGCCAATTTCCTGCCAACTACACTAAGCTGAGTAACTCTGAAATAGTTAGACATCTTAGGTGGGTATAGCTCTCAGCTACTCAAGGTCCTGTGATAGAAAACAGGAAAGCAAATTATTATGTTATTACAACACAGTTTATTTTCCTAATCATATGGATGAATACAATTTACATTACAGAAACCAAGGCACTGAGTTTTGGGTATGGAGACAGATAAGAGGTGAGCTGAATAAAACTTGGATGTAAAAAAAAGTCTTATGGAAACACGCTTGTTTGTAAGTTAATTACAAAATATAATTTAAAACAACAACAAAAAAGGAGTTTGAACAGAGGTATCCTGCACAGGTGAACAATGCTACTCTCAGAAGACGTGGGTTATTAACTGTCAATCTTAGTGTCAAGCATGAGATACCTCCCTATACTTTTTATTTATCAGAGAGGCTCCAGATGTCCCCAAAACAACACAGGCTAGCTTGGTGTTCTCTCTCTCTCTCTCTCTTTCTCTCTCTCTCTCTGTGTATGTATGTATGTATGTGTATGGGTGTGTATAAGTGCACTGCATGTTTAGAAACTGAGAAGGAATAGGAGAGGAAGGATTCCAGAAAGGCATCAAGTCAAGTTCCTCCTCCCTTCATAAACCTCACAGCAATTTTCTGTATAACTGAGAAAACTGTCTCATTGCTGATTACTTTATAGAAATTACCATTATGTCTACCACTTCGCAATACCTCCCCCCGTTCAAAATATCAATTGTAGGGGCTTTCCCCAGATCTTTATGATTAGTTTCCTGTGCTAGAACTCTCTATGATCATCTCAACATTCACGTATCTGTTTAATCTGCCACTAAGTTTCTATGAACAACTCTTCCCCTTTGTTCAGTTTGCTCAAGCTTTAGATTTATAGTAGTTCACAGAACAGTAAATTATACTAATACTATTAATATATTAAGTGGTATTCGCTTATCTAGCTGTATATTGTCAGTCTTGCCAAACAAAAGTTAAACTTCATGAAAGCAGGAATTTCATCGGACTTCTTGCTGTTGTTCAAGTGAAAAACAATACAGGAACCCTAGAAGGCAGTTTGTTGAACAAGCATAACCTCACTAAAGACACTTAACTTTGACAAGGCCTTTAGCTGGAGATTCCAAGACATTTCCAGGCCTCCCATATTTTTTCTTTTTACCCCAAAAAGTTTATAAGAACAGATGCACAGCTTCTTCATGTTCTACTGTTGCAATAAAAATTTCCATCAATTTACTGTCTTCTATAAAACTTGAAAACATTAAATATTAACTGTTTATGTTAATAGTGACTTGTTTGTTTATTATTAAGGAAACATTTCATGAGAATTGTTTTTTACAAGGATGTTTGAAAATGAAATATTGAAAGAGTTTTAATCTCTATCTGCAGAATAGAAGGATATATTTCCCATCATACAAAAAGAAGTTAACGGTATTACAAGAAAATAAAAACCAATATACCTTGCAAGGAAAATAATCCTTTACAGGTATAAGCAAACAAGTCTAGCCATATAAAGTAAGGGTCATACATTATGATCAAGTGAATTTTATCCCAAGAATACAAAGTTGGCTAAAATCCCAAAGTCAATACAGACCACACAGTAACAAAGAAGGCAAGTCTCAGTACACAAAAGATATACAAATACTAACATAAAAGCAGGAAAATTCAATATCCTGCTAGGATTCAAAACTCCTAGCAAGCTATGAATAAGAGTGAACATCTTCAATAAGATAAAAGAAATCAAGAAACAATATCCAGGTAATATATTTACTGAGGTGCTAGAGATTCAAACTCAGACACTCAGTCTTGTGTAACAAGCACTTTCTGCTCTCAGCTTAGTTTTTTAATGAATGAAGGCACATATATCCTGAAAATATTCTTTATATTTATTTACTTATGTGCATGCACACATAACCACAAGACAAAAATGGAGGTCAAAGGACAAGATGCAGAAACTGGTTCTCTCCTTTCACCATGTGGTTCTGGGAACCGAATTCTGCTATTTAGACTTGGTAGCAAATATGTTTACCAAAGTCATTTCACAAGCCATTTTGCTTTAACTTATTTTTCACTTTTCTAAATATATAAACTAAGTAGTCTCTGAGGAAAAAAAAACTCTTAACTGAATAAAAACCAAAGCAGCGTCTGTGTGAGGACAGGAGAATGAAAAGATTATCTCTATAGCCTTCAAGGAAAAATTGCTCAAATTTGAAAAACTGTTTCATCTATTTTTTGTTTTATTTTTTTAAGAGACGAGGTCTCTCTATATCCCTTGCCGCCCTAGAACTCACTCCGTAGACCAGGTTAGCCTTTAACTCACAGAGCTCCACCTGCCTCCGCCTCCCAAGTGTTGGGATTAAAGGTGTGCACCAGCACCATCCTCATGTGTCTCTCTCACTTCCCAGAATGCATGATCAAACAATCCACAACTTACAAATCATCCCTATTCAGACTCAAGCAAATGACAGAATTCATAAAATCATTTCAGTTTTTAAATATCTCTAACAGTACAACATGATACTAGAGTGACAGCTCAGCAGTTCAGAGTATTTGCTACTCTAGAGGACCTGGGTTCAGTTCCCCACACCCACATAGTAGCTCAAAACCATCTACAACTACAGTTCCAAGGGATCTGACATCCTCTTCAGGAACTCCATGGACACCAGGCACACATGGTGCACACACACATACATGCAGGCACTCAAACATACACATAATAAATTAACTGAAAATTCTTTAAAGAAAAACAACTACTTTTCTACCGATTTGTAGTTTATCCTCTCACTACTTCACTAGAGCCCTCAAACTCCTCACTTCTAAGAATCCTGAGTGATGAAGACAGAACTCATACTCAAACCACCAGTGTTCCTCCACTTCCTAAATTTGGCTATACTGTAACGGAGGGCACACTGACCCAGAAGGGATTGTCAAAACACATTAGAGAAGTTTGTAGTGACTTAATAAATTTAATAAAATGATAAAGCAATACATTTGAATCAAGGTTACTTGTGTCTAAAATCTAAATACTAGTTTTTGTTCCTCTTAACAGCTGGGTGATATACAGGTAGCTCGTAGATCAAGTGTGGTAACTGGGATATACCCTCTGAGAAGTAGGTATTTACCTCTCCACAGATACCCAAGACTCCAGAAGAACAGTGAGGTCAAAATTACTTTTAGGAGATGGGCTCAGTTAGCAGCCTTCTTGCATGGTGCGCACAAAGCATTGTGGTAGACTCCAAGCACTACACAAAACCTGGCATGGAATACCAGACACACACACACACACACACACACACACACACACACACACACACACACACACACACACACACACACACACTGAAATTACCTTTGTAATACTAAGGTGGTTGTTTGCCTATTTCATCATGCAGATCATACACCAATACAAAAGTAATGGACCAAAAATTTGCTACCACTTAATATATTAATAGTACAAATGAAAACCATTCCATAAATCTATAGTAGCTAGCAGTAGGCACATTTTCTACTATAAATGCACAGATAAGAGGGCAAAGAAACAAAGTCAGTTTCTTTTATATGTATAAGCAATAGGTTTAGCATTTACATGAACATGGAAATGTTTGTTTTCTAAATTTAATTTCTAATAGTACAAATATTGTCTTCAGTACAAATACTGATACTCTCAAAATCAAAAACTCTTTTAAGCCCTTAACTTTTATGCAGTTTGAATGCTAAAAAAGGTTTGCAAAAAACAACCCCCGCCCCATGCATTTGTTTATTTAGTCCAGGTTTCTTTTGGAAGCCCAGGCTGGTCAGAACTCTCCCTAGATCTTGTCCTATCCTTGAGCTCACAGTTCCCCTACCTCAGCAAGGATTGCAGGTATGATGCGCCACTATGACACAGCAATTTCTAACTTTTAAACCATGAGTATATTACTCTTAAAAAATTCTATATGATAAATCTGAAAGCATTTCTGTTGAATGTATATGTTACCCCAAAAAAAATCTACGAAAGTGAACGTCATTTCTTAAAATATTTTTTATTCAGATTTAGTGGCAGACATTCTCTCAAAATGAACAAAACAAGAATGTCATTTCAAGAAAGACTATTCACATTCTTTGTTAATTATTAAATTCAGACTTTCAGGTAAAATTAGATTCTGAAAACCGTATCAGATACTATAACAGCATAATACAGCTTGCTAATTTTTCAATTTTTAGAGAATAGTAACATCATTTATATGTTAGTTTCTATGTCTGAAGTTTACGTGCACACATACTCGAATGCACCCATGGCACACAAGTGAAGAAGAGATCAGATGACTGCTGGTGGGAATCAATTCTGTCCTTCTTCCATCAAGCAGGTCCCAAGGATCAAATTCAGACTGTCAGTTTGGGCAGCCATTTCCCTTCACAGGCTGAGTCATCTCCCGGGACCTGTTTTTAATTGTAGAATTTAAACAAACATCACACCAACAAAACCCCACAGTATCTTCTAAATGACTAGTATGTTATAAAATAATTCCTGCTTTAGACATATTCAAAGTACACCAGTTTAGAGTGGTGGTGGCACACGCCTTTAGTCCCAGCACTCAGAAGGCAGCAGGTGATTCTCTAAGTTCGAGGCCAGCCTGGTCTATAGAACAAGTTCCAGGACAGCCAGGGCTACCCAGAGAAAACCTGTCTTCAAAAATAAACAAAAACAAAGTACACCAGTTTAAGATACCTCACAAAATATAAAGGTAATTTCTCAGATTCCATGTTAAAGAAACTACTGTTTGTGACACAGCAGTTATTGGTGTTTGTTGCCAAGCCTAACAACCAGATTTTGTTTGATCCCTAGAACCCAAATGGGGAGAACAGATGCCTGTAAGTTGTCCTAGTTTCCACTCACGGACTCAAGGGCCCAAACACATTCACACAAGCACACACACCTACACATACACAGTAAATGTAAAACCAATTTACAAAGAACTACCACATGAACAGGTTCTGAGAGATATTAAGACTACCTACAATGATCAGTTATTATCATGCTTTCCAAACCTGTATCACTGTGCACTTGAATTTCTTCCGAGACTTCACCAAAATAATATATTAAACAGTGAATATAAAAGCAGATGACAGTTGAATCCTCTTCTACTAAGTAAGACTTGAAAGTTCTCTACAGAAATATAAAGCATCAACACTCTTCTTGGTACTTCCTTTGAAAAATAGCTTATTTTTGAATAGATGTATAAGCAATAGGTTTAGTATTTACATGAGTATGGAAATGTTTAAGTTTTCTACATTTTAATTTCTAATAATACAACAAATGCTGATCATCTTTAGTAAAAATACTGATACTCTCAAAATCAAAAACTCTTTTGAGCCCTTAACTTTTATGCAGTTTGAATGCTAAGACCATAAAGATTATTTGAACGAATGCTAAGACTATAAAGATTATTTGAATAATCTCTTAGGCTCAATTTTTCATCTGTCAAATGGAGGATAAGCATAAACATGGTACATGAAGGTTACTGCTACTTTAAAAGAAAATCTAGCAATTAAGTGTCAACTATGTGCTAACTACTGTGATCAATGTTTATATAGGTTACTTCATTTTTCCTTTTATGAAGTAGGTCTCTACTTCCACACAGAATCATTTAGATTCACTAGAGGAATAAGGATCTTATGAAAGACTTGGTATATTATTCCCCCTTTGATAATAACCTAAATATCCAATAAATAAGTAGCTAATATGGCTCATCATACAACTCATACTTACAACCCCTACCCAATTACAGGACATCTAGCTTCATCGAAAAGCCAATTATTAATAGTCAATATTAATCCAATCACTCATGAAACCAAAAGTCATCATCTCACAGACCTGCACACTGAAACCAATAATAAAGCACATCTCTGATGCTCATCAACTTGGCAATGATCAAGTTTATTTTACATCAGAATGAGCTTCTCAACAAATCTCTCAACAATTCAGAATGAGGAAGATTTCAAAGTTGTTGCATGCATGCAGATACTGCACCATACAGACTGTTCTAGGTCATGCTCCACACAATGCACTGACCACTAGATTACAATGGGTCAGTGTGCAATTAGAGGCTCACTGTAGAGCCTCATTTGAATCATATATTCTCCTATGAAAGTAACTGATTTTTATTTACATACTTCTACCTTTGTGTAAACTGTCTGGAGCTTCTATATGCCATTAAAGTGTCTCTAAAATGTTAAAGGGATTACTACTACAAACTTACCCTTCAGAGATTTATTGCTCTCCCAAAGTTGGTATAAAAGTAATGTTGCAATTTCTGCCCACCATTCCAAGACAAACTAGACTAAAAACAGATCATCTACACTACCAAAACCAGTCAAAATGTGTGTGTAGTATGTGTAAGTACCTATATGTGTATCATATATATACATACATGGTTTTAAATGGCAAGAATAAAAAATAAAAGCAGTATAGGATATTGACAGACACACACACACACACACACACACACACACACACACACACACAAAAACATATACATAAAAGGGCAACCTATGAAAACATTATAATGAAATCCAGACAATAAAAACTTAAAACTGACAATTTAAGCAAGAGTGGTGGTGGTACATTTAGAATGCACAGGTACATAAAAGGCCCAGGAGAACTCTTCAAATTCAAAGCCACCAGGATTACTAGACAGTGAGACCATGTCTACCACCCAGAAGAATCAGATTAATGAAAAATTAAGACAATATTAACCATGTCAGCTTTCTAAAGATATTTCTGAAAATAGACCTCAAATTGTTTAGGTAGAAACAATGAAGAAAAATATTAGTAAACAAATTGGGATCCATACAGGTTCTCAATTTTAAACTGTTTAAAGTATTAATGGCAACATTTCTTTCCTCTGTACTCTTAAAATTTAACCTCTTGAAACAAAATGAGCTGGGCTAACTGCTGAATTTCCTGTACCCATCCACCTACACTGCATTTGTTCAAACAAAAAAAACCAAGTGAGTAAACAGATATTTAGTCATCTAACATGTCTCATATCTTAAATCTAAAACCTTTTACTCAACTGAAATTAGTTATCAACTGAAACAATTTACATGTTTTGTTAAACTTATTTCCAGCAGAACAACCTACACTTGAGACCTACGGGTTAGTTAGTCCAGTTCTGCCCAACAGAACTGCCACTATGATGACACAAAATTTAACTATACACTGTGAAATTTATTGGTATAGTATAAGAATGATATGTGTTAAATATGCTGGTATGTTTTAGAATATAAAAAGAAATACAGCCAATACCTGTGTAAAGAGGCTACTTACATGGAGATTTAGAACCACTTTACAAAAAACAATAGTAAACAGCAGACTTTCCCTATTTGAACCACAAGTAGAATAATTTACCACTGCCCATCTCTTGACAAATGAAAAATAGTAACTGCTCTATGGCTTTTTCAATCTTAGTTTAAAAACAAACGAAAACCATGGGATATCAAAGTAAGATTATACAGTAAGAAGGGGTTATATGATAAACCTGTTTACTTAGCTTCAATAGTATTATTCCAGTTTCAACTTAAAAGAGTACAGTCAAATGTTCAATCATGGAGTCAGGGCTTTTTACCTTATAGACACTGTGACCTGTAATATCAAGCATAAATCTATAATCCTAGCTTTAGTTAACAAAGAAAAGACTGAGCATGAGAATTATACTCAGTACTAGGACCATTCCTATTTTCATAAATTTGTTTTCAAAAGAAAAAATAAAAATCAAAGATATACTTTAAAGAATTTGGAATTTAATTAAAATTAAAGATAAATGATTTCCTGTATTTCATGTTATTGTATCCAAAAACTCTATATACACCTCAAGTTTTTTCCACACAATGTTCTTAGTCATTCAAATTCAGGCTACCCCTCACCTCCCACAGAACTGAGGACTTTTCTTCCTGTGAGTTCTCTTAACGACTACGGATATTGTCTACTACATATTACTGACAAGAAAACCATGACATTCTGAAATTAAAGTCATGTCTATACAAAACAGCAAATATTGCATTAAAAGAAGTATTTATACACTGGATGAAAGCCCTATTCCTATCAAGTGTGATCTTCTAATTTCTTGAGTATTATTGATTCCTTTTACAGAAGTGTAGCAGAAGGAACAGAAGCATTTGACTACTTTAGTTTGGAAAGAGAAATAGTGCTTAATCAAATTATTCTCATTCAACAAACTGGACAGTTAAAAAGAAATAATATAAATTATAATCAACCTCTTCTAGTTTTATTATAAATTTCAGAAATATATTTAAGATTTTAAAGATTTAAAGCTTCAACTATACTTTATGAATGTGTGTGTGTATACACACACATATATTTGTGGTTCTATTTAAAGTGTTTAAGATGTTAAAATGTGGTTTATAAAGTAAACCACAAGAAATTTTAATTTTTAAAATTAAAAAACAAAACCACAGCACTATAAGGATATGTCTGCATTTTCTGGTTTTAAGTTCTCTTTTACTAAGATTTAATGAGAACTTTTTTTTTTTTTTTTTTTTGGTTTTTCAAGACAGGGTTTCTCTGTGTAGCTTTGCGCCTTTCTTGGATCTCGCTCTGTAGACCAGGCTGGCCTCGAACTCACAAAGATCCGCCTGCCTTTTCCTCCCAAGTGCTGGGATTAGAGGCGTGAGCCACCACCGCCCAGCCTTAATAAGAGAACTTTTAAAACTTGTATGATTCAAAGGGTCAAGTTACAAACCAGAAAAAAAGGAATCGATGTCGATTTAATATAAATAAAAAATCCAAACGTTCTATATGTTTAATAAATAAAATGACAAAGGCAAAAACTACAAATAATACACTTCAAGTGGCTTAAAGTTCCTTACAATACTTAGACTGACACTGGTGTACAGATGCCCTTCATTACCCATCATCAACCTTTCTAACAAGTAAGCTCTTAAAGAAAGAAGTCAAAGGATATTTTTTAGGAAAGCTCGTTATATAAGTTGTCTACTTACAATAGGATGCACTTTCGAAAAGGTCAAAGCTGGAAAACACATCTTTGCACTTCTATTCTGGTATTGCACCACTCTAATTACTTTCACTTCTGGAAAGTAATCCTCTTAATAACTGGCAAATTTTTCACATCTATTCTGCCAACTAAACTGAATTTAGTATTTTAAACAGAAAACTACTCAATACAGTTTAATGCAACAGGTATAAAGAAATCAAATCAAAATAGGTGGAAAATTAGGACAAACAAAATTGCAGTGATTTTAATAACTGGTAACAATGAATAAATTAGGCAATGCAACATCCAAATCTGGCAATTTAATGGAAATAATGACAAGCAACTGTTACAACAGATGTAAAGAATCTGTACTTAAAGAAAACTATGCTTAGAGGTTTTATCATCAGAAAATGAAGACACTTAACACCTTTTATACTCTTAAATTTAAATGTTCTACGAAAACTGTTAAATAGGTTTAAAACTCCATGATTCATACTTCTATAAAATCCAAGCAAATGTTTTAAAGAAATTTAAAAAGGACTACCCAGAGCTTTAAAATCTAATTAGGTCTCTTTAAACTGTACTGCCAACGAAGTCATGTGACCGCTTGTAATTACAGAAGTCTCTTAATCAATGTATATACCACTGTTTCCAAGTAAATAATTTCACAGCATTTTAAGGGAAACCTACTAATAGTGTCAGAGCTGGGAGGTGGGGGAGGAAAAGAATGGAAATTAACCACACAATTCAACTTACACAATAACATTTGGGGGGGGGCATGTTGGGCAGGTGTCTGCAAGGAGGTAGATAATACAATGGAATCAGTTTTCATTCTGCAGAACCCTGAGACTTGCTGCAATGTCAGCTCCAGGCACACACTGAAAGACTCCAGAAAATGCTCATTGATCATGCAGCACTTTATAATGCGCATAGGCTTTTTTTCTCCTCTTGGCCCCGCCTAGCTTCCCTTTGCAGCAGCTCCCAAGCCCTCTCCCCACAATGAAATCTCTCTTGAAGACAGTGAAACGGTAACAATTATCCTCACACTACCATAAAGCCTCTATACCCGAATAGCCAGGCTTTTTATTCCCTTTCTTAAAGACGAGAAAAAAAAAAAAAAAGAAAGAAACAAAACAGTAACCATCACAATAAAAGCCCTGCATCCTCACAGAGAAAGACATGAGATTTAACTAAATACAAATTTTTGGTAGCATGCTATAACCAAGGCCATAATCAATCACAGTTTCACTTTGACACCTATTTCCTTGAGTTGCTTTCTATTCAAATGGTGTCATTTAAAATTGATAAAATCAGTAAAAAAAAAGTGTAATTTAAAATACTCATGACTTAAATCACAGATTTTTATCGATAGCATTCTAGCATCAGAATCCAAATTTAGGGGTTTTTAAATTAAATTTCTAATTTATTTTACAATGAAGTCACATGAAAAAAATCTAGATCAGAGTGTACCACTTACATTAAGCAATTAGATTCTCAAGCTAAAATAACCAGCAGTTTTTACAATTAATTGCAAGCACAGCTTTAGGCTTAGATATGTAAATGAATTCTAAGACATATGATACTAAACCTACTTCAAGCTGCTTTGCAGACCCCACCTTCTAATGAGTTAATCTAAAGGTCACCACGAGCACAAGGCTTTTAATCAAGTCCGAACCCTCTCTCCCTTTTTTCCTACCAAATATATCTACAATTTATAAAACATGAGGTTTAAACCAAGTAAGTCTATAGTTTAATAATCATGTGAACAGACTGACACATTCTCACAGGAAATAAGGTCTGTCCGTGTCTTGCTTTTATGCTCTGTCTCTCTCCTCTAATCTATTCATCTGTAAAATAATTCTAGCAGTAAGATTTCTTTGTTCAAATTTCCACTTTCATTTCATGTCCAGCCCTAAGCCTACCTCCAGAATGTCTTCTAGCACATACGCTTCCATTTCAGCCGCTGTCTCCACCATGGTTTCTCAAACTGCCATGTTTCTACTGCACTATGATTAGATCATTGCCAGCAGGAACACTCCTCTGTGTCAGCAAGGGAACAGGAAATGGAATGTTCTATTACATGCCTAAAGCAGCTTAGCTCTTCACCAGCCAGGCATCTACCAAAAGAGCAGGGGGTGACTCACTGCGTATTCTTTAAAGACACAGAGGCTCTATTTCAAAGCAAACTTCTGCCAAGTAATTTCAATAGATAAAAATCTCCTATTTTACCATTACTAATTATGAAATCCCAAATTTTCCTAAAAGAATACATATATGTATGTGTATATTTTTTTTAAAGCTACTTAACATTTTAGTTTCCTGGTTGAACAAATGAGGTTCAAGTGGGGTTCATAGCAATTTATCCTTAGTAAAGTCTTACAATGAGATTAATTGTTGTATTAAACATGCAGAGGAGGCGGCACGATAGTGCCAAGCTAGGAATTTGGAACATCCTAGCAAATGGATTATATAATATACCTAACTCCTATAGCTGGCTTAATGCAGACTTTTAAAATGGTAAACTGCTTTTCTATAAACTCAACTGTTTGTAAAACCCTGTAAGTACCAAATGAACATCTACTATATACTACAGTATACTCATTTTCTGGTAATGCCTTTAACTTCATTTATTAACTACAATAGTGTAGTTTTTCTATTAACATAAATATTATAAGACACTTGGCATAACTATTGTATAACAGAAAGGTTTTTTTGTTTGTTTATTTGTTTTTAAATTTTCTGGAGCTGAGGACCGAACCCAGGGCCTTGTGCTCTACCACTGAGCTAAACCCCCAACCCCAACAAAGTATTTTAAGAGTAGCCAAGATGAGGTTTCTTCCTAACAAGTTCATATGAGATAAAGCGAGGTAAAGTATCTACTGTATAGTAATAAAGAGACAGTTTTACTGTGGCAGGCAATGTATGAGTTTTGTTTTATGTTAAAAAAACAACAAGAACATGTTATTTAGCCTTCATAATAACCCAGCTATGTGACAGTAACTTAAAATAGTACTAATAAGCTTAGTGGGTTTACTATATGCCATTGAAATGCTTTTGTGTCTATTAACTCACTGAATTTTCAGTCTTAAAGGATGTTGTATGATATCCACGTTAAAGATGAGGAAACCAGACAGCATGAAGCTTCTTGTCCAATTCGTCTCAGCTAAATTGATTTGGTTGAGGGACTAAAACTGGTGAATCTAGGTAGCCTGCTCTGGATTTTATTCTCAGAATCATCTACTACAGTCTTTCTCTAGGCAATATTATTTACATTTCATGGATAATGAAACAATGGCTCAGATTGGGCACAGAGTTACATAACAAAACCAAAGCCACATTCAATCTAGAACTGTGGGACTCAATGAAGTTAATGGTAAACAAGTAATATCATAAATGCTACTGCCCTGGGCCCATCCCTAGTGTCCACATTTAGGTATGGTAATGTCTACTTGGCAGTTCCTCCAAATAATCTCCCTGCTGAAACCTAGCACAAAGTGAAACCAGCAAACTAAATTTTATCTCCTACCTTCAAAGTCAACTAACTTTAAGCTTCAAACAAACTTCATCTCTAGGCTAAGAGAAGAACTTCATAAATAAGCAAAGGCAGGTATGACTCTAAGATTAATGTTAGAGTTCTGTAATATTTTTGTTATACATGAAAATAGTGATTTTCCCATTAACTTTTCTAAGCTACCTGGTTAATACAATGACTCGATATTAAAGGAAGCAAAATAGTATGAAATGAGATGCATACACATCTGTCTTAAGATTCATTGATTTTAAGAGTCATCACTCAAGGCCAGGCAATGGTGGCACACGCCTTTAATCCCAGCACTTGGGAGGCAGAGGCAGGCGGATCTCTGTGAGTTCAAGAGGCCAGCCTGGACTACAGAGTGAGTTCCAGGAAAGGCGCAAAGCTACACAGAGAAACCCTGTCTCGAAAAACCAAAAAAAAAAAAAAAAAAAGAGTCATCAACTCAACTTTATTTTATAGGGAAAAAAAATCCCTTGTCAGCTGTCCAAAACTGATTTCAATGACGAGACCACTTTTTTCTAAAGGCAATATTATTATGTAATTAACATGCTAAGAGACACATATAAAGGTGGTGGCGCACGCCTTTAATCCCAGCACTCGGGAGGCAGAGGCAGGCGGATCTCTGTCTACAGAGCAAGATCCAGGATAGGTACCAAAACTACACAGAGAAACCCTGTCTCAAAATACCAAAAAAAAAAAAGATTCAAATGTCCAGTGAAGTTTCACATTAAAAAGGAGAAAACAGCCGGGCAGTGGTGGCGCACGCCTTTAATCCCAGCACTCGGGAGGCAGAGGCAGGCGGATCTCTGTGAGTTCGAGGCCAGCCTGGGCTACCAAGTGAGTTCCAGGAAAGGCGCAAAGCTACACAGAGAAACCCTGTCTCGAAAAAAACAAAACAAAACAAAAAAAAAGGAGAAAACAGCCAGAAGCCAAAAGTGGTCTAAACAAGGAAAAAGCAAGCAAGATAGAAAGTATACACAATGTATTGTCAAGCTAGAACTCTATTCTGCGTTGATATTTCCCTAGATCTTGATTACTTTTGGTGGTGGCAATCAAACCTGGTGAGATTTCAAAATTCAAATTTTTCAAACAAAAGGACAATACTAAGAAAAGAAAACATACTTCTCAAAACGTATATATTTATGAGTTTTTCCAATACAGTATAAGATAGTTTAGAAGAAAAAAAACAAAAAACCACAATTGCACAATAGCCTAGCCACACATAATGAAATGTCTTAAAGACTTAAAAAACAATTTAGTGAAAATGTTTATAAAATACAACAAGATTTTTGAAAGGACACTATAAAACATCAGTGCATATGTACGTTATACCTATCTCTCCTAACCTAGTTATACTATAAAATGACTAAAGATTATAGATGTATTTCTAGTTTATTATAGCAATATTTTTTTCCTTACCATTAAGCTTATTTTCTTTTACTAACTACATCTTTTACCTATAAAGTAATCCATATACATGGAAAACACTAACAGCATAAAACATAATACATACACAGGACTGAGGATGCAGCACTGGCCATACATATACAGGGTCCTGAGTTTGATCGTCAGCACCACAAAAATAGATACAATTAAAAACAGAAAAGCAAACCTCCACAAAAATAGATACAATTAAAAACAGAAAAGCAAACTCCTATCATCCTTAAGAGGTACAATCAATTTTACAGCCCACATTTTTCATATACACCTTAGTATAAAACTATTTACACAAATGGAAGTATGTTATGCATAGTTGTCCCTGTTTCCATCTGTACGACGGATTCTAGCCTCTGCAAAAATGAAAATACAAAAAAATTGGCACCTGTACAACTATTTACATAGCATACACACACACACACTGTACTGTGTCTACGTAATCTAGAGATGAGTTAAATAGGTAGGAGGTGGGGAAAAAAAGAAAAGTAGGATCCAGAAGGACTGTCTGAGGAAACATCAGTTTTTGTACATGGAAAGGGAAGAATCATCACTTGCTGAATCACAGGTAGCTGATTTTTTTTCCCCTTTGTCTGGGATAAGAAAAAGATACACATAATGGAGTCCAAATTTTGAAAGACATCAACAGAATTTTCAGATCTTTCTCCTACAGTTCAGTTGTTCAGGTTAGCATACACATACTGTCACTTTCCTTTTCCTAATGAAGCTGCCTTTAACCTTTTAGAACACATACGGGAAGCTGCACAAAGGTTATATGCCTATATAAGGGGCTGCAGTATTTTGGCTCCAGTTCTCCAAACAGAGCTGGACTGTGTATGGAAACTATATGTTAAGCACCCTTACTGTTTAAATGAAGTACTCTACAACATATGCTCCGACTAGTACACGTAAAATCTATTTTTAACAACTGCTCTAATTTCTAATAAAAACAGTTCTGTGACATATTTCATCAGTCCACTACTGATAGACATTTATTTATACAGTAAGTAACACTATAATTAACACTCTTCATTACACATACTCTGTATATACCAGAATATAGCCATATAGTAACTTTCTAAACATGCTTTTACATTAAACCTCATTGATTACTGTTTTATACAAAGTATTTTGACACAAATCTATTACAAATCCTAAATCTGAAATCAGCATTAGTCATAAAGGTATTCAGGCTTATACTTAATTCCTCAACATTTTCACTTTATAAGGAAAAGCTCAGAAGTTTCACCATTTTGCATTTAACTTTTCCCTTTATTAAAAAATGATTTTTGCTAAATTAATCTCAATTAGTTACTGCTTAAAATGTTACAACACTGAATCTTTCAAAATGCATATATTTGGAGAAGAGAAGAATGGGCTAAAATATTCTGGCCTGAAAAAATGTAATCTACTTCTGTTAAAATACAAATTCCATGCAAGGTTTGGTGCTGGTGTTTTGTTTTGAACTTGAAGTCAACTGTGAACACATGTCTCTGCAAGAATTTAATATACTAAACACCCAAAATCATCAGGAAATATTTGGGTATATTCCTATTAAATAAAACATGGTTAAATGAATTAACTTGTCTTCTAGTTTACTTTCTAATTATTGTGGGGATTTTTGTTTTTAGAGACAAAGTTCAGGATGTCAGAGAACTTGATATGTGGCCCAATCTAATCTGAATTCATGATCTTCCTGCCTCAGCTTCTCAAGTACTGGGGTTACTGGCACCCATCACCATACCCAGCCCTTTCTTTTTTTTTTTAATTAAGAAAAGTTTTATTTATTTTACATGCCAACCACAGACTCCCCCTCTCTTCCCTCCCCCCTCCTCCACCCCAACTCACCCTCCATTCCCTCCTCCAAAAAGGTAAAGCCTCCCATGGGGAGTCAGCAGAGCCTGGTACATTCAGTTGAGGCAGGTCCAAGGCCCTCCCCCTGCATCAAGACTGTACAAGGTGTCCCACCATAGGTAATGGACTCCAAAAAGGCCATTTTCAAAGAAGAAATTTTAATGTAATCTTTCCATGTATGCTAAGACAAAGAATGGGCA